GATCAATTTTAATTGACAATTACTGGGTCATTCTAAAATAACACTCAATAAATAAATTAATAAAATTCGTTATAATAAAAAAATAATAGTTAATATTATAAGTTAGGATTAGAGTTTGGGTTAGTAAGTTTTAATTATTAATAACAACAGTGGGTTGCAGTTCTGTTTCTTGTAGTATTGAGCTAGACGATCACTATTATAATAACTTAATAGTGTTTTTTCTTTTAATGTCAAAAGCTTGTAAGCTTCATTGTTTAATTTAGCTTGAATAACAAAGGGTCCAAGTTGTTTTTTTTCAAATTTAGCAGATTGAGAAGCTTCAATATCTTTTCATTGTATCCATACTTTATCTTCTATTTCAAACTCTTTTATTTGAATCTTTGAATCAAATTATACTTTCTGTTTCTTTTGAGATTGTTCAGTATTCTTTCGAGCTTTACTATGTTGATAGGGTAACTCTTCTATTAACTCGAATACTTGTAATAAAATACTATCTTCTAAGGATATTTTTTGGTCTGTTTCTTGTAACTCTATTGGTAAAGTAGCTTTGATAGGTAGTATAGTTTGTCATCTATACACCAATTGAAAGGGAGTATATCCAGTTGTTGTATATCATTTAGTCCTATATACAAACAAGACAGCTGATATGTGTATATCTCAATCTTCATCTATTTCTTTTACTTTTGCAAGAGAGTTGCAAAGTATCTGGTTTAAGCATTTAACTATACCATTAATTTGAGAATGATATGAGGAAGAAAATATATATTTTATTAAGATTTTTTCACATAAAATCTTGACAGTAGTACTAATAAAATTTCTTTTATTATTAGAGAGTATCATCTTAGATATGCCATGCCTATACACAATTTCTTCAAATATAACATGAGTGTACATAGTTCTGGTATCTCTATACATTTGATCTCAATAATATCTTTCAGATATTTTATAATACATAACATCAGTTTCTAAATGACCAGCAGTTGGATAACTATGCATTATATAGAGAACAGGTTCTACTTCGGTCTATTTAAATATACGAATAGGTTTGTTTAAATCTTTTTGATTCTTTTTATATAACAATTTGTCTTTAATCTGATAATATTTTGATTGTCTAAATAGTATCCATTTTTTATTGTCTATTAAGTCAGGAGGGATTTTGTCTGATTCTAAATAGTTTACTAAATTTTGGTAGTGATCTAAATTCATGTAGAGACAATAGGTATAAGATGGGTTTGGTTCTCAAGTCAAAATAGTGCATCTATATTTGAATAAATTTATCCAGGTTTGTGTATAATAGTAAAGTTGTAAGGCTGTAGCTTCATCATCTATTGGTCTAGTCGTCCTTTAGTCTGAGAGGATTTTAACCATTTAAGAGCAGAGTGGTCAGTAATAAGAGTGAAATGATCAGTTCCAAAATACTTATGGAAGTGTTCAATAGCCTATACTATGGCAGCACATTTTAATTTTGTGGCTCTATAGTTTACTTTTTCTTTCTTTAGGCTTTTGCTAGTATAAGCAATAGAGTATTCTTTTTAGTTATTTGAAATTTGCCTCAAGGTGGCTCCAAATCTGGTATAAGAAGCATCAGTTGTGAGTATAAACTCTTTCTTGTAGTTAGGATAGTTTAGTATAGGTGCTGTAACTAATCTTTGTTTAAGTTCATCAAATGCCTTTTGACAGTTAAAGGTTTATTCATAAGAGGTATCCTTATGTAGTAACTAATTAAGAAGTTGGTTAATAGAGAAAAAGTGTTTGATAAATCGATGATAGTATCTAGCAAGTTCTAAAAAAGATCTAAGTTGAGTGATACTTGTTGGAGGCAGGAGATTTTGTACAGTGGCTATTTTGTCTGGGTCTGAAGAGATTCCTTTTTCTTCTATAATATGTTCAAGAAAGGGCAAACATTTCATCTAAAAGTTACACTTTTCAATATTAAGCTTCAATCTAGCTTTTCTAATTCTAGTAAATACTTTTTGTAAATGTTTAATATGATTATCAAAATTTCAAAAAAATACATTTGTATTATCAAGGTAAACTACAACTTATTGTAAGCTATCTTCTTGTAAACCTGATTCATGAGTTGTTGGTAAGTTGCAGGAGTATTACACAATCTAAATAGCATCACATTAAACTCATAGATGCTATATCTCGTAATGAATGCAGTCTTTTTACTATCTGCAGGGTGTATCATAACTTGCCAGTATCTACTTATAAAATCTAAAGTGGAAAAGTAAATAGCTCCAGCTAGAGAGTTTAATATTTCATCTATTTGTAACAATAGGTATTGGTCCTTTTTGATAACAGCATTCAATTTTCTATAATCCACACAAAATCTTTTCTTGCTATTTTTCTTTGCTACAAGTACAACAGGAGAGGCCTAAGGACTTGAGGATTCTCGTATTAATTTATTGTCTAACATCTGTTGTACTTCTTCATTAATAAACTTCTGTTCTGCTAAAGGTACTATATAGAGTTGAGAGTTAATAGGAGATATATCTTTAGTGTATATTCAATGAGTTACTAGGTTAGTTCTTCCTAGTTGAGTAATATCTTTTGCAAAGAGGTCTGCAAATTCAAGAAGCAATTGTTGAAATTGGACTCCTTAATTTGAGGTTAGAGGTTCTATCTTTGGGTGTATTTCTTGAGTTACTGTATATACTTCTTGTTTCAATAAATTTCTTTGTATAACTTAGTTAAGAGCACCTGTTTCTGTTGGCAATTTGTCTAGATCACTAAGTAGTTTTTCATCTTGCTTAAGATTGTTTAAAAATTTAAAGGTCCATTCTCAAAGAAAAAAATAATCTTTGCAATTTATTATGAAAAGCTTCAAGGTGATTAACTCTATCCTAAAGAGTAGTAAGAGCTTGAACTTGTCATTTAAAGGTCTGAATCTTTTCTTAGAGAACATCAATTATTTGTTCTTGTTGCTTGACTCGTTATTGCAGCAAGCGAATTATCTTCTGTGAGTCATCATTAGTAACAGATGGAGTTGGTTTTGGAGTTAGTTTTTCTGGTTTCAGTGCTGATTCAGGCAGAAAAGAATAAAGTTCATCATAATATTTTTGACAACATTGATCATATTGTGCAAGTTCGGTTTTAGCTTTGGCTATTAACCAATTTATACAAAGTCCTACTGTTTTTTAAAAATTTCTTTAAAGGTCTGCATAGCTCTATGTTGGTCGAAGTTAGGATGGCTAATATCAAAAGATTTAGTTGGTGTCAGTTGAACATAAGGGGCTCTCATAATAAGATTGATTTTATCATCAGTATAGTCTGATTGGATCTGTTAGTTACTAGGGATTCAAAAGCACTAGCAATTTGTTCATTGCTTTCACCAAGTTGAATCTGAGCTAGATGATAGATTCGGCTTTGATTAATATCATAAGCATGTTCAGCATTTCTAGTAGACTCAGTATAGTATTTAACTTGGGTTCACAGATTATAACAAAGATTCTATTCAATATCCTTAGCAGCTTAGTATATATACAAATACTTCAGGTTATAAAACCAGATATCTTCTTCAACTATGTTTAGTTTGTATATTTTGGATTTAATAAATTCTTCACTACAATCTCTATATTTGGTTAACATTTCTTAGCCATCACTATTAGTGAAGTATTCAATACTTCGAAGGTTATCTTGGTCTAATTCATAGTAGAAATCAGTCCAACATACTTTACAGACAAGATTCTGATCAAGCAATTTAAGTTCTTCAGGTCACTGGGGTACTTTACATTGACAATAATGGTGCGTTCTTTTTCAAGAATACAGTCAACACACGATTATTCAAATCCTCTGAATTAGTTATATTGCACAATATTAAATTAGAAAAATTCGGATAATTGAAAATTTGGATAAAGTATGTTTAATCGTGTTATAATAATCCTAATATATGAATATCCGAATTTTGATTATCTAAAGTTTAATACGAATTTGTATAAACTTCGGATAATCAAAAATTCAGATGTCTATAATATAGAAATTCTAATACATGGATATCTGATCAAAAATTCAGATGTCTGTAACATATAAATTCTAATACACTAACATCCAAATTTTTTTTGATCATCCACAATATTATTTCTGTGTCAATATAATCATAATATGGAATGTAGAAGTTTTATACTATATTTTGTTAGTGAATGTGCTGTACTGAATATAAATATAATAGTATATATTGTATATCTGTACAGTACGCCTTTTCATTATATGAAATGTAAATGAGTACTGTACTATATTGAATAAAGTTATAAACGATAATATAGTATGATAAGCACAACTTTTTAATATCGTTACTAAAAAACAATAATTATCCTGAAGGAAAACTCTGTTATTGGAGATTCAGGTTCATTGCTTACCAGACTCAATTTACCTAATTTATTAGGGATTGTGGTCAGTAAATTATATAATTTTAAATAATTTATTATATAAATAATATACAGAAATAACGATAAATTAACAAAAAAAGCCTCACTTTAAATTTATAATAAATATAGAGTATTGCTATTTCCACCCCCCATTTTTGCTAATGCCACCCCCAAAATTTAAAAAGTGCTCTAAAAGAGACATTTCTATTAAGAAAACCTACCTTTTGATCTTAATAAAAGTTGTTTATCAGGCCTTTCCAGTTCTAATGGAGTAAAATCATTAAAATCGGACCAGCAGTTTTTTCTAAAAAGTGAATGAAAGTTAGCTAACTTCGGATATAAATATCTTAGAAACTACTGGTCCAAGTATAATGATTTTACTATCATTAGAACTGGAAAGGCCTGATGAACAACTTTTATTAAAATCAAAAGAAGGGTTTACTTAATAAAAATATCTATTCCGGAGCACCTTTTGATATTTGGAGGGTGGTATTAGCAAAAATGGGGGGTGGAAATAGTCATTCTCTAAATATATAAAAAAAAATTTAATTTAAATATATAATTAATTTAAACATGCCTTATATTTGTACTTGCAATGTTAATTAAAAAACAATAAAGTTATATTATTACAATTTACAAAGTACAATTGTATAAAAGTTTTTGAAGTTTCTCTCGCAATATAATTTCTTTTTTCAATTCATCATTTTTATCCTTTTGAATTACAAGTTTTTTATATTCGATTCTTATTAGCCTTTCTTGTTCTTTAATATTAATAGATTCATTTGCAATTTGAGTTTTTAGAAGATTTATGATAAACAAAAGTTTAATTAAAACATTTGCCTTTGCCTTTAAATTTATTAGTTAGTATATAGCCAGACCTCTCTAAATGCAACAGCATCTCTTTAAATGTGACCTTAACTCCAGCCCAAATATACAGTCTAACTTCCTTAAGTGCAAGTTGTAGAAACCAGACTTTTGATAGCTTGCATTTAAACAACAATAAGAAAATTGTATTTATAGGAGTTTGGTATATATTTTGGCCAGAGTTAATGGTTGTATTTAGAGAGGTGTTGCATTTAGGAAGGTTGTATTTAGAGAGATCTGACTATATACCAGACTCCCGTAAATGCAAATTTTCTTATTGTTCTCTAAATGCAAGCTATCAAAAACCTAGTCTCTATGACATGCACTTAGGGAGGTTTGATTGTAATATCAAATTACAAATATACAAAAAAAATCTACTCTTTCCAAACTCAATTAAATTTTGAAGTTTGTTATATCTATAAAGAAGTTTGTTATTGTAAGTTTCGACTATAGTTAGATTTATAAATGAATCTGTATTCATGAACAAATTAAGTAATTCAAATGAAGCTATAAAAGGTTATAGTGTTCTAAAACAAACTAAACTAATATAAATTTAAAATTTCACATTTGTTATATTCAGAGATCATTATAAAGAAGTTCATGATAGTAAATCTTGACTGTAATTATATTTATAAATGAATCTGCATTCATAAACCATATCAACACAATAAATAATTCAAACAAAGCTATAAAATATTGTAGTTCTAAAACATATGGGCAGCCGAT